TGGCGATTTTAACGCCCACCATGCCGATTGGCTCGGCTCTGAAACCACCGATCACGCGGGAAGATCCTTTCACGACTTTGCTTTAGCCTACGACCTGACACAAATGGTCCCTGCGATTACGCGAATACCAGATGTGGATGGTCATAAACCCTCTTTGTTGGACCTTCTGCTGACTTCACATCCGGAGAACTATCAAGTCTCTGTTGACCCGCCATTGGGTTCATCGGATCATTGTGTGGTCCGGAGTACTGTGCCATCTACGCGCCCTTCACGGCCCCGCTTTATGGGTTGTCGCCGTATTTGGCACTATAAGTCAGCAGATTGGGACGGGATGCGGTCTTTCTTTGCGTCCTACCCTTGGGGGCCTATGTGCTTTTCGCCGGAAGCTCCAGATTCCGTCGCCGCCTCTGTCGCCAAAGTGGTTCTGCAGGGCATGAAACTCTTTATTCCATTTTCTGCGGTGCCGATCGGTGGCAAGTCTCAGCCCTGGTTTAAACGTTCTTGCAAGGCGGCCTCGCGTCGAAAGCGAGAATGCTTTAAGGCATGGGCGGAAGCCGCGAAATCTCGTGATGCCAATACCAGCGAACTTAAAACAGCATATAACTCAGCCTCCAGGTTCTTCAAACGGGAAATCACTAAGGCAAAGTCAGAGCACATTGCCAGATTTGGCGAGAGATTGGCCCAGCTCCCTTCAGTGACTCGAGCCTTCTGGTCTCTCGCCAAAGCTGTCCAAGGGAATTTTTGTCAGCCCGCCATTCCGCCACTGCACAGGGAGGATGACTCTCTGGCCCACACTGCGAAGGAGTAGGCCGACCTTCTGGGCTGTCTCTTCGCGTCCAACTCGACTTTGGATGACCAAGGAAGATCACCACCGACCATTTCGCAGTGTGATTCTTCGATGCCGGAAATCACATTCCGGCAACGTGCTGTCCGCAAGCACTATCTTCCTTGGACATTCATAAGTCGAGCATGCGATGGTATCCCCCAATTGTGCTGCGTACTTGTGTCCTGAGTTGCTCCGCCTTAACGCGCTTTTGGTACCTGTACTCGCTCGCACTGTCCCGAAGTGCTGGAAGACCGCTTCGATACATCCGATCCCTAATAAAGGGATCGCTCTGATCCGTCCAACTATCGACCAATAATATAACCTCCTTGTTCTCCAAAATAATGGAAACCATTATTAATTGCCAGCTCTTGTGGTATCTAGAGGCCACAGTTATTAGCGATTTCAGTACGGTTTGTCGTGTCGCTCGGCTGGTGGCCTCCTTGTATACCTTACCCATAGGTGGGCAGAGGCAATTGAGTCCAAGGGGGAGGCGCTGGCGGTAAGTTTGGACATAGCGAAAGCCTTCGATCGGGTGTGGCACAGAGCACTGCTCTCGAAGCTTCCAGCCTATGGGCTTCCCGAGAAATTATGCGATTGGATCTCCAGCTTTCTGGCCAATCGGAGCATCAAGGTCGTCATCAACGGAGCATGTTCCGACCTTAAACCTGTGAACGCTGGGGTCCCATAAGGCTGTGTTCTATCCCCGACCCTATTTCTTTTGCATATCAATGATAAGTTGCAACTTAGCAACATTCATTGCTATGCGGATGACAGCACTGGGGATACTTTTTACACTGGCCGGGCAGGTATTTCTCGGGCAGTTGTTGATGAGTACCGGAACAAACTTGTGTCTGAAGTCGAAACTCTACTACGTGGAGTCTCAGACTGGGGCAGACAAAACCTAGTCCAATTTAACCCCAAGAAGACACAAGTTTGCGCGTTTTCCGCTAAAAAAACACCCTTTGTCGCTACTCCTCTTTTCGAAAACACTCTTCTTAAAGCCACAGCCAGCATTGGAATACTTGGCGTTGACATATCGAACGACGTTCAGTTTCGCGGTCACTTGGAGGAAAGGCTAAATTAGCCTCCAAAAGCTTGGTGTGCTCAGCAAGGCGAGGCGGTACTTCACTCCGGGCCACCGCATGCAACTATATAAAGCGCAAATTCGGCCCCACATGGAGTACTGCTCTCACCTCTGGGCGGGGGCTCCCCAGTACCAGCTCCTTCCACTTGACCGTATACAACGCAGAGCGGTTCGAATCGTCGACGACCAATCCCTCTCCGAGCGGCTTGATCCTTTGGCGTTGCGTAGAGATGTGGGGTCACTCTGCATCTTCTACCGCATTTACCATGGAGAGTGTTCAGAGGAGTTGTTCGGATTAATACCTGCAGCTGAGTTTCATCATCGGACGTCGAGACAGAATACGAAATTCCACCCGTATCACCTCGACGTCCGCCGTTCCACAACTGAGCGTTTTTCAAGGCAGTTTTTGCCGCGCACCACCACTATGTGGAATCAGCTGCCCACTGAAGTATTTCCGAACCAATTCGACTTAGGGTCCTTCAAGAAAAGAGCGTACCAATTCTTAAAAGGCCGGCAACGCACTCGCGAGCCCTCTGGGATTGAGATGTCCATCCATGGGCGGCGGTATCACTTAACATCAGGTGAGCCTCCTGCCCGTTTGCCTCCCGTTATATAATAAAAAAAAAAAAAAACTCTTTGTTAATACGGAATAGATAAATATGATTGAATCCAAAAACCTTCGAGATAAGGTTCTTTTTTCACAGCTCAGTGCCAATGGCCACCTTTTTGTGGTCCCACTCAAAACCCAAAAAAAATTAATCTAATGCTAAAATTTCTTTAGCTGCCTAGATCATCCTTCCATCATCTTTCATCTATATATATACAATATATAATATATACAAGGCATCAAAAAAGTTATCAGACGTAACAAGGACTATTAATAATGGCCATTAATTTCTAAGGCCTTTAATAAACACGACGTTCTCCATTTTAATGAAGTAGTTGTGTAGGAATTATAATATTAAAGTTTCAAAAATTTATTAGCCAACTTATTTGAGATAAGTAGAATTTGGATGTTACGTACAAATAGTATTTAGATGATGTAAGTACTTAATAAGCAGAACACCAAAACACAAGAATTGCAGGAATATAACAGGAACTGCTTATATTAGCAATAGTTTTTTTAATAATTCGCTCACATTTTATAAGCACTATATTTAGCGTTGAAATTGTATAAATCTATTGTTGTATTTGCTGAAAGATTAAAATTTATTGCTGACGTTTAGTGTAAATTTTGCCAATCTACGAACGAGATAAACCAAATTATATAAAATTCTATTGCATGAAATGTCTTTACATTATAATATTAACGTCATATTTTCGTAACAAACTTTATGTGCAATCTAATTTTATAAGCGGTCTTTATAATTTACTTAAGTATTGTACCTATAGTGGGTTTATTACTGTATTAATTAAACGAAGGCGTCAAGAGCTATATCATTATGTTACGTACGGATTGTGTATAAATAGATCTTAAAATATTATTTAATAATGTATTTATTTAATATTTAAGTATCTGATTACAGTTTCGGAGAGTGTGTGCTCACCTTGTGAGATGCGAGTGAATGTAGTTTTGAGTGGGTTATTATAATACAAATTTTAGATGAAATTAATTTTGGCGCCAAAAATATAGCCATCCTTTGAAAAGGCTACGCGTCACGCGATGAATGTTCGATATTAAAGAGATTGCGTGTATGGCTTGGTTTTATCACTGCTGGTATTTTTAACACTTATTAGTAAGCCCTTTTACTACTCTAAATGATTTCTAACTCAAATTTTGTACGTTAAGTGTATTACGTACGTAGTTTGGAAAATGTACCGATATTTGTAACTTAGGTTTATAAATTATGTGGTTTTCTCGATGTTAAAATAGATGTTTACAAAAAATAAATGTTTCGCATCTCTACTTAAAAATAGTATAAAATATAAATGTTGATTTCAGTAAATTAAATAATTAATTATAACAATTTATTGTGTGTATTATTGGAACCTATTAACCTAGTGTTTAATTTTAATTTAGTAGGTACCTAGTAATTGTTAATTTTATCTATTAAACAAAAGGTACGCCCCAATTATATAAAGTTAATGTAAGTGAAAGATATCATGATATTAAGGTTGATATGGTGCTATTTACTTATTTAGTTTAAAAATGTGTTTGACTTGTAATCATCAATAAAAAACCTTGGAGTACATATTTGGTATTAATAGTTTTTCATATTGCAATAGTACCTACTATGCTGGTTAAGTTTAGAAACGTGTATGGCATTAGAAAAGTAGATTTAAAACCACTAACTGCAACTAGATGGCGCTACTTAAAATCTTAAATAATTGATTCTGATCTGAGTGTTTAAAAAAAATATTAAAATTCTTGTGCGATAGTACTTAATTGGTAGGTATTTACTATTTACCACACATAATATCTAATGTGTGGTAAATACAAAATACAATACAACAATTTCAAACTTTTAAATATTATCCATTATTTCAATAATAGTTATTGATTTACAGAATTTTCCATTGCTTTTATAATTGAATTTTTATTATTACAAAGATAGTTAGAAGCAAATAACATAAAAACAAATATGAAAGGTAACTATGTGAACTTCTCTTTGAATGCAAACTTGTGTTTAATAAATAACTAGATTAGTAATTATCTCTGCAAACATCGAACTTATAGCATACTATTAGATATAATTATATATGCAAAATTTTACTATTAGTAATTTATATGTCAAGTGTCAAGTTATCTACATACATTAGCAAAGTGGAAAGTTGAAGTTCAAGTAATATTGCACGTTCGCATTTGTAACTCAATTTAAAAACTAATAAGAAAATGTTATACTATTTGCAAATTATCGAGCGGCAATGAAATATGAAATTACACGTTCGAGTTACAGTTTTCGTTTATCTATCAAGTATTTTAGAATTGCGTGATATCTGTAATATGTGTAACTCATGTGCATAACAAAGAATCTTTGATTGTTAGCAGGAAGATATTTTTAAAACCAGGAAAATTATTTTACGATAAGTCGACAACTCGACACGTGTGAAACAAAATCTGTTCTCTAAATTTCTAAAAGACACTTTATAATGCTTATACAATTGGTATGGATTTTTGTCTATTTGAGTTGTGCGACTACAAACGACGAGAATGGAAACTATGTTCCGGATGATTATAACTACGAAAACTGGCCGTTTCATTACAAAGCGGCTTTAAACGCACTAAGTTAGTAACCAAGAAGGCTAATGATATTTATTTTAATGGTTAAGCTTAACTAGATTTAATTTAAGAAACAACAAGTGAAGCAATTCTGTTTATGAAAGCTTGATGTTAATGAGTTATAAAATAGTAATATTTATGTATCCACAGGTGTTATAAAAAGAGATGTACTACCAGAAGTGCAAGCAGAGAGTAGTATGAAGTCATCCAGTGTAGTTGAGACTGAGTCACAGAAAATAACCCAAGAATTGAAGCCAATGGTAGGACAAACGGAAGGTGGTATTGTGAATGAGGCACCAAATGCAGATATTCCAAGTCCTGATCTAAATACCAAACCAGATCTAATAACTTTAAAAAAAAAACCTGAACCAGTGAAAGACCAAGTGAATATCACCAAGACGGATATAGTTAAAAGTATGTTATATTATTATTTAGAAGAAACATATTTTATCTTAGATAGAATGTAAGTGTGTGCTCCTATTTCACCATGCCGCCTGCTGATTGAGGACAAATTTTTGTTTTTATTTTATTTTATTTATTAATTACTTAAGATGTCATGTAGAACATGGTGTAATGGTTGCAGCTCCGTACAAATGTTGTGTAAAACAAAAAACTTGGGGATTAAAAAGAGTAAATAGAGAGTTTATTGCCAGTTCTTCTTATTCATTCTACGCCCTTGATTTGAGAACTAGCAGTAGATGTAAAATTAGAAGCATTTCATATATATTAATTTTTTCGTTCATAAGTGTACATTATGTTACCTATATGAATAAATGATTTTGAATTTTGATAAATTTTATGAACATACATATATCAATTAAATTTTATGAATTGGTTACAATTTCTGAGTTATATTGTTGCTGCTGAATATAGTGCCAAATAACATTCCTCTATCAACTTACTGCTGAGATATAAAAAAAATATTCAGATTACATACACATCTTATAAAATTTTGAATGTAAGGTTTTAATGTTACAGGTAATGACACAAAAACAAGTGAAGCAAATGTTGTAGCCCAACCAATTTCAAAAATTGAAGATACAACAGCAACTAACACTACCACTAAGGATCCCAGTATGGTGGATATTAATAATCCTGGAGTTATCAAGCGAGGTCTTATTGTATTTGGAGGATTGACTTTACTTGCGGTTGCATACTTTATATTTTATAGGTAATTTTCTGTAATTTAATACTTTACACCACAAAACCACCTTTTTATACCTGTACTGTATGTGACATGGTTGCATGGTAGCATATTAAGATTATATGTATAAAACTATAAAAAATTATATTTATAAGTGTTGGATTTTTCTAGTTGAGTAGTTTTTATTGGTAACAATTGTTCTCATACGTTTCTTGAAGTAAATTTTGACTATTTATATATACACTTCTGGACACATCTATTGGCCCACCTTGCAGTTTCAGTTTCTTTTGGTCCTACCTAAAAAAATATATTAGGTTGAGTAAAAAGTTTTCATGCAGTTTTGAACCTGATACATTTTACCATCTTTTTCGATCGTATTGTTTTAAATTTGAGTTTAGAATACCACACCATATGGAGATACACCTAACAAGTCGGGTATGCGCCTTGATGAAGTCAGTTGATTTTTGAATAAAAAACGTGTTTTATCAAATAAAGGTTTAAATTAATAACGCGTGTTGCCTCCATGGGCATCTACGACAGCTCTCATACGATTAGGCATAGAGTTTATCAACCGCTCTATGAAATTTTGAGGAATCATCTCCCATTCCTCTTCTATGGCAGTTTTTAATTCCTGCATCGTCTGGGCAACTGGCTGACGAGCCCTAACACGTATTTTTAGCTCGTCCCACATGTGCTCAATGGGGTTCATATCTGGGCTTCTGGCTGGCCAGTCCATAACTGCGATGTTCACATCCCGAAGATATTCTCTGACGATGCCGGCCGTATGGGCTCTTGTATTATCATGCATAAAAAGGAAATTTGGGCCCACATAGTCCGCGTATGGCATCACGTGAGGTTCTAAGCACTCAAGAATGTACCTTTCACCATTCAATGTTGGCAGCCGTGGTCCCGTAACAACCTCAAGTTGAGTTTTGCCGCTCGCGGATATACCGCCCCAGACAGTCCATGAGCCACCGCCATAAGCAACCCTCTCTTCAAAGCAGCATTGTGCAAAACGCTCTCCCTTACGTCGGTAGACCTTCTTCCTTCCATCATTGCCATGTAACGCAATTTTAGACTCATCAGAAAAGAGTACACCGTTCCAATGCTGCTGAGTCCAATTTAAGTGTGAGCGCGGCAAATGAAGGCGCGCTATTCGGTGGGCTCGCGTTAGTTTTGGGCCATTAGCTGGCTTGTGTGGTACTATATCACGTTCTTTTAATCTTCTCCGAACAGTTCGAGCGCTCATATTTACTCCATGGAAGTCGCGAAGTTGGTTTTGTATCTCAATGGAGGTATGGTGAACGATGTTAATCTCAAACTGGTACAAAGTCACGATGAATAAACGATCCTGCCTTTCAGTTGTGACCACTGAAGCATCGTGACATTACCTTGGCGACGAACAAAGCCGCCAGTCTCTAGGTATCTCCGATAAACGTTTCGGACCGCAGATCGACTTAAATTAAGTTAATCACCCACATTTCTTTGGCTGTGTCCGTCCCGGATAAGTGCCACAGCTTGGGCGGCGACTTCAGGCGAAGTATCCATAGATTATTGATAGAACCTCATCTTAATGTTAAGAATAAGTAATGTTTGTTGCAAAACCAAAGAGAAAAATCACACTTTCAAGAATTAAATCCAACTAAACCAATAAAATCAAGTTTTCTTAGTATTCGATTGTTTGACATCAATGAGCAGGCTCCAAATTGTCTTTTGTTTCTTTAAATTCTGTGTTCGAAATTAAAAAAAAAATTGAATGCAATTATGAATGTGCCAGGTTCAAAACTGCATAAAAACTTTTTACTTGACCTAATATAAATTTTTAGGTAGGACCAAAAGAAACTGAAAATGCAAGGTGGGCCAATAGATGTGTCCAGAAGTGTATATGTGTACCTAAACCTTTTGGCAAAAACTGTAGCATTAAATATTCCTTAATAATAAATATAATAGGTAATGAGGCTTAATTATTTTTTCAGAAATAAGCACAAAAAGTTTGATGCTGCTAACGCACACGGTACCGGCGATTCAAACCAGTTTAGATATGGTGTATTGCACTCCGACGACCGTCGAGAGAATCTTGAGCTCTCCCGGATACCACTCACCATGGAATCTGATGATGACGAAGACGAGGACTTGGAAATATTTGACTTGGAACAGAACAGGAAATCCCTTTCATATGTTAACTTGCAAACAAATGATGAAGATATTGTTCTGCGGTCTTCCAAAGATGAATCTAAGAATAATCTGCTTCTAGATATTGAAGATGCATCAGGGGATCAATTGATTAACTGGTCAGGAAGTGGGAGTAAGTCAATATTATAAGACATATTGTGATATTGTGTACAAAGTTGACCCGAATTTTGTTTAGTTGAGTCATATTTTATTTGATTTATAAGGAAATTTAAAATAGACGCATAGAACTAAACTTATTTATTAAAAATTGATTATTGAATTTTGCACCATCACACAATTAATTAACTTACTTTTTACAGCATGTAGAATTCGCTTTAGTTAATTTTTTGGGTATCTTGTATTATCTCTTAGCAATTTGAAATTTGTCTCAACTTTATAAATATTGCAGAATAAAAGTTCTGGAAGATTATCCTGGCTTAGAAATTGTACTAATTGGTCTTTACATTACCAAGTATTACCAATGCAATTTCTATTGCTAAACAAATTGTGTAAGAAACAATATCTTCATGACATCTTCTAGAGATAATTTGTATAAAGATGTACTTGAATGTCAGAATGGCTTTTACAATACAGTGAAATATTTTACTGCTGATCATAAAATTTTAGCCCATTATTAGTATTGTTTTAGTATGATTGTATTAAAAACTTTGCAATATTCGATTTAAATTCACACGAAAATCTTATGCCATATGAGAGAGAAAGCAGTTTGTAGTGGCTCTTATATTTAATTGTTATGAGATGTGTAGGCAAAATTCATAGGAAAAATTTTTAGTTCTTATGGCTGTAATTATATAAAACAATGTCAGTAAATTATCAACTTTGTAATTATCAAAAGATTTATTTTTCTATGACTCCATGTATACAAATAAATTATTTATATTTCACATACATAGCTTACGAAATACTCCTTGTTATTTATGTATTGCATATGCCAACTGGGCAAACCCATGTATATAATTTGATCTGGCTATATTTTAAGTGTCATTGTATTAGGGGTATTTGTAGGCAAGAAAATATTAATATTCCATAAATTTAGGTAAGTTTTTATAACATTAAAAAAATGGTTTAATACTATTGCATTTATGAAAAAACGTCGAATATTAATTTTTGTGTATATGACTGCACAATTTGATCTTGATGTTAAAATTACCATACTAAAATTGTATGGGAAATAGTTATTAACTATTAATCTGCATCAATTTACCTTTTCTAAAGCAAGCTTTAGACTTGCCATATCTTACTTTATTTTTTATAGCTTGTAACACCTAAAAAAGTTTAGTGTCAAGTTGCATTGTTACTAATTTAAATCAAAAATATTTATTTTAGTTTTAATATCATAAATGATTTCAAGTTATAATAGGTTTTTCTTGTTAATAAAAACGTTATAACTCACTATGTTTAAACCTATTTATAAATGAAGGAAGAATTTATAAATAGGAATAAAATAAAGAAATGAATGATTTAAGTTTTTATATGCTTTTGTTAATATTCGCTATCTTAGCCTGGAAATAGTGGCTATGGCCTGTCAGAAATTACCAAGTGCCAAAGATGCAACTTAAACAATATATTATATTTATAAATATATTTTTCTATGAATAACTTTTTTAATGTAGTACCTATACTTAGGTACATAGACAATGTGTATAAAAATACACTCGTGTTTGTCACCCATTTTTTTTGCATTTATGGAAATATGTAGAAGGAATATATAAGTTTCTAATTCAGCTTCTTAAGAGTGGTTGTGTCTTTGGTACGGGCTTACTATCATAGTATATTTTAAGCTTTTGGACTGTGATAGTAGTATGGGAGTCTACGTAGTACAATATATTTTCCTAAATCTTAGTACGTTATACGTAGATTCGCATTTCTCATCTTTCTAAGCCTAAATGTTTTAGTGTAAGGCTGTTTAACTATTAAAATATGCGATATTTTATATTGAGTTTTATTTTATGTAGTTTTGGCTTAACATATATCTTATTTATTTTTCTGCGATATCTAATCGTAAAGTAAACGTAAGACGCAGTTGAGACGTAAGTTGCGTGTTGTTCCCACGAAAATGTAAGTGCGTGCTCCTTTTTTCACCACGCCTCCTGCTGATAGAGGACAAATCTTTGTTTTCAATTTATTTTATTATTATTTATTACTTAAGATGTCGTGGAACATGGTGTAATAGTTGCAGCTACTTACAGACGTTTTGTAAAACAAAAAAATTGGCGATTAAAAAGAGTGGTGGAAAGTTTATTGCCAGTTCTTCTCTTCCGTTCTACGCCCTTGATTTGAGAACTGGCAGTAAATGTAAAATTAGAAGCATTTAATGTACATTTATTTTTTCATAAGTGTACAATGTACATTGTGTAAAATCTATATGAATAAATGATTTTTGACTTTGAAGTAGCACTTCGTGTGCGTATCTGGAACTAAACGAAAAATGAACATGCATCGTTCGAAACCATAGCCAATAAATACCTCATGTATATGTTTAAGCAATTATTTAATATAATAAAATTTATCCATTAATTTTTGTATATTATAATCAGCACTGGAACCTTCTTTGTTATGACTATTTTTATATCAGTAGGTACCAAATTATTTTTGATGAACAAGAATAAACGTTTTGACAAGTTCATTTAATTTCAAAATCACATCACGCAAGCCGTTCCGAAAATCAACAATATTTCTTCTTTCTGATTCTATGTAAAATCCGTGATCCAACATTACTGATACAGAAATTCCGAACATAAAAAATCCATCTACCTTTTATCCATTGGTCGATATCCAGCAGTAACAGTTTATTTTAGTGGGATTGGGCACGTACAGTCCACCTGTCTGAGATATTGAGATAAACGAACCGTTACAATCCGACCATAGCTTTACCTAAATCTGTTATTGTTGTGTTTATATGCAAAATCTCTCGTAAGCGGGAATTGTTAGTAACAAAATGCATTATTTGTAATAGAAAGCAATCTGTGTATGTATATATGTATACATAAGTACATATATTTAATTATTAGTTTATCCATGGGGATAATATTATGTTATTTCTTTGCGAAGAAATAAAAGTATTCATTCTTTGGGTATACTTCATCTGTGTAGAGTAATATATAATTTTGAACTATGTGACTTTTTTATATCTAAGAAAGACTTTCCTGGCAATTTTCTACTCAATAATATGGAGTAAGAAATTAAGAACACTCCCGATCATACTAAAGAAAGAACGAATTACATATTATTGGATAGTGTTCTTACATTGAATGCGTAATTACAAATTGTTGGGTACTATGGATACTAATATACATTATGATATATACTCAAAACTAAACTTACGGTAGAAAAAACAAATCAATCATGGGCCGTTTTGAATCTGTGAATCTGCCTGTACCTAATCTAATTCATATCTCATGTCATACGTCTCGAACTGTCAAATATGTCACATAGAAACATGATTTGACAGCTCCTAGAAATTATATTAAATTGTGTTCCAACGGTAAAATGCGGATCTTATATAGATCATGTATTATTATATAACAATTTTAAAATAATTCAAAAACCAAAAAAATATTTTGCAACAAGTTGGTCGTAGCTAAAGTAATTGAATGGTTAAGCATCTAAGCGTAAAACGAAGCGCTTAGGTAAATTAATTAAAATAAATTAATGAAGGTTTAAGGAAAGTGTTTTATAAAAATCGTGTAACTTTTTGGGACTAAAAATTAGGATGGCAACTGTTATATTTTTTGGAAAGTCCGTCAATATTACCTTCATTAAAAATTAAAATATTAAGATAGCGTTCTCATTAAAGACATTGTAGCGATACAGGAAATAATCTTAATATTCTATTTTAGATAAATTATTCGTTGTAACAAAAATGGGTATTACGACCAAAATAAGAAAATCTTGATAGACTCATAGGGACGTCATTTCTAGCCATTACTTAAAATCTCACTCTTTCTAAAGAGGTTATGAAAACATAAAATCTTCGTAAAGAAGTTTTAAATTTTGTAAACTTCAAAAATTGTCTTCTCAAAAAGAGCCTGAATTAAAAAAAAATTGTTTATCTATATTCTTGGAACTGGAAGTGACCGTGCAGAGCGGATACCGGGACACTTGAAGTTCCTCTAGGAAATAATGAGCTGCCTGGCGTTAAATATGTGTATAATTTCCAGATACATAGAATCCGTTAAAAATACATATTTTTATATAAAACACCAATGCCTCGGGCATGCCCGCCTTCGGTCAGGGCGGGCGGAAATGAAAAATAAACACTTCCGAGCGTCGCACTGCACTGGTGATATAAAATAGGGTCCCCTGTGCCTGCACTATGGAATGAAGGCTCCGTGTTATAATTATGACTTGGTTATTAGTAAGACAATAATAAAAATGTTAGCCTGTAAATGTTAGAAATTAAACGAGATTTACTTTTCAGGTCTTGACTTTGACATAAGAACATTGTTTTTCTAATAAGCATGCCTTGTGTTGGGGTTTACACTCGTCCCCGAAATGCTATCAGCACTGAATCTCGTGATAATTCAGTTGGTTTGGACCGCCGTGCCGTCGAAGTAAAAAGTGCACTTATGTCGCAGGACACTAATATTCCCTGCGTACATAATCACTCTTGAAACATAATTTTATCAGCGTAAAGAACATTATTATAACTACTATAAAATTATAATAATAATAGGATATCTATCACAGACTTCTACAAGTATTAAATGCATGTGACGTAGAAGGTACCCAAATATATAATTTAAACAAACAATTGAAGGTTATTATTGAAAAATAAATATATACATAATCTGTAGATTATAAGACATAATCGAACGATCTACAATTCGAATTTGATAATTTGTAAGATATCGATATCTATATCCACATGAATAGCATGTCAAAAGCAATTAATTACAGCGATTACTCGATTGATCACGGACATACAGGTTGTAAGTGATATTAGGTACGCAGATTAATAATTAAGGTTTCATGCTAAGACTGATTGATGTTCCATTGATGTCGGCTGTTGTCTAATTTGTAATTAAACGTTCGTAATCTTCATCGTCAAATACAATGTTTAATGGATCATATTATGTTTAATCATTATAGACGTTTCAAATACTGTGAAGACGTATTCGAAAAAACAT